ATGTGCTCCTACTATACAAACGAGATCATGTCTGGTTAACATCAATAGTAGCTTAAGTGCCAGTTCCAATTTCATAACAGTCTCATAAACATTCATATTCTATCCCTCGTTGCTTCCGTTCAAAATGGTTGTTAGCTGTCTGACTGATCTAAACATTTTAGGTCATGCACACAGTCCCAGTTTATTATGCGAGGCAACAAATGACACGAAAATTATCCATCACGTATTGACCACTTATGCAGGACCACGTAAAATATAAAAGATTGAAAAATTTTCACTGCGACATTGTTTGCCATTGGTCCTTCAGCATTTCAAATTTTTTGTGTGCTACAAGATCACCTACTAGTTGCATCACATCACGAATCTCTGAAATGGCATGGTGCTTATTACAGTGCATGCATATTAAACAGCACATTCACATGCTGAAAAGTACCTAAATCGTTTTTGGAATAGGTGGAGAGCATCTCCTTCTAAATGTAATTTAAGTGGGTTAGCCGCCGATCACATTAGCAGCAGCTACTTATGATAGCTGGCGAGATGGATTCGTGTGAGTACAATAAAATATTTTAATTTGCAGCATAACAGTGTTCAGCAGTTCGTGTGCGTGTGTGCACAACTGTAAGCTCATCCTTGCTGAGAGGGAGAGGAAGGGAGAGAAATAAACAGCACTGCACAGGTGTGCTTCTTTGTTATTTATTTATTTCAAGAAACCCCTGAAGGCCCTCACTGGGAGGATATTACATAGTTCGGAGGTGGTGTAAAAAAAACACAAACTAATGCAATGAATACACATCAAGCATAAAATAATTTCCAAACAAAATATATAACTTGTGCATATAAAAAGAGCAGCGCAATATCCCAACCTTTGTTGGAAATAGGGAAAAAGGAATGACTAAAAACGCGATGAAAGATAACAGAATACACTATGACAGACTAACAAAAAGAAAATGATATGAGACAAGGAGTACAGCCGGGACGTTCAGCAAACCATGTCAATGCTAAACTTCATTATCATTTGTTAAAATTTCAATAAATTTTTCAATCTTGCACTTACAGAAAGCAAGAACTATCGTGAGACACTCTTTCTTGGTTACCGAGTAGTTCCTCTCCGCCAGTGTCAATGAACGGCTCGCGAACGCAATTGGTCGAACAGAACCTTCATGCTTCTGAAGCAGAGTTGCTCCTAAGCCCAGGTCTTTTGCATCTGTTTTTATCACGAACTTCCTGTTCAAATCGGGTAGCTGCAGCTGAGTCGTGTTGGCCAGCAACTTCGTGAGGCGATGCAGTGTCGCCTCCTGCTTTTCGCTCTAAGCCCAACGCTCGCCATTCCTCAAGAACTTCGTCAAAGGTGCCTGCACTGCCGCGTAGTCAGGAATGAACTGTCGATAAATGTTCACTGTCTCGAGAAAATGCCTCAGGTCACCGATATTGTTTGACAATGGATAGCTTACTATCACTTCAAGCTTACCCTTATCTGGCAAAATGCGACTTTCGTCTAGCGGGAATCCCAATAATTTTTTCCGGGTCGCCGCTATCTGAGCTTTGTTCGGGTTCAGAGTGATGCCCGTACACCTCAGCCTTTCTAGAACGCCTCTCAAGTTGCGCAAGTGATCTTCGAACGTTTTTGAGTAAACCTATATGTCGTCTAGCTATGCGGGTGTGTGCTGCCACTTTGTGTCTTCCCAGAACACGATCTATTAGCCTCTGATACGTAGTGGAAGCTCCCACCAAGCCAAAAGACATTCTCCTGAATTGGAAAAGTTCTCTGTGGCATGTTAAAGCCGATTTCTTTTTATCCCACTCGTCCATCTCAACCTGAAAATATTCACGGCTAGCATCGAGTGCAGTTAAGTACTTCGCCCCGCCTAGGTTGGATACTAACGATGAAATGGAGGGAAGAGGGTTTGGTCCTTCTTTGTAACCTCATTCAGCCTGCGTGAGTCTACACAAATGCGATATGTATCATCTCTTTTTAGAGCTAGAATTACCAGGAAACCCCATGGACTGTTTCACTTCTCAACTACGTCTGTGTCGATGAGTTCGTCCAAGGCAGAATCAAGTGCTTTCCGCTTAGCTAAGCTGATTGGTTGGGGATCGCATTTGCAAGGTCGTGCATCACCCTTGTCGATTCTGGGCTTGACCAGTGTAGTACAGCCGGGACGTTCAGTGAACATCGCGTCGTACTCGTACAACAGTGATGACCACTGCGCTCATTCTCCTTTTGGGAGGCTCTGTGCCTCTACCAAAAGCGGGTGCACTGACCTTCCCTGTAGCAGCACATTGTTGCGGCAAGGTGGTTGCTCGCTTTCTCAGCATGCTTTCCTTCTCGCGTACTCGTGCCTCTCTCTGCGATCGGAATGCCTTTGTCAAAGCGAGGGCCTTCGAGAAAACCTTTAGCACATCTTTGTCGGGCTCTCGATAACCACTGTTTGCAACGTCATTGACAGTACCTGCTTTGGGGAGGAAGTCTCGACCCAGAATTAGAGACATTGACAGCCCAGGAAGATGCATAAAACGGTCTTCGTCGCGCTGTCGGTAACCACTGTTTGCAATGTCAATGACAGTACTTGCTTTGATGAGGAAGTCTCAATCTAGTATTAGAGACATTGACAGCCCAGGAAGATGCATGAAATGTTGTCGCCTCATGCGTCTGTTTCAGTGGATCACTAACCTAGCCGCACCGTTCGATTGTGCTGTGCCCGTAGGAAGGCGAAGATGGTGCTGCTTTGTCTTAAGCGGATATTGTTCTCGTGGAGATGGTGCAACATGTCATTGCCGAACCAAGAAGCGCTTGCCCCAGTATCCAAAAGTGCTACAAACTTTTTTTGAGCTATCGTTAACTCTATTAGAGGTGCAGGCGAGTCTGCAGCATCACTTGCGTGACAGACCAAGTGTGCAAGTGATCCGAACGCATTGGTGGAATTATTGATAACCACGTGGTGACTGATGTGGATTACCGGTGGCACCGTCCGTTTCCTGAATCGCACGTTTGCTCCTGACCCGGTGTGCGGTCGCATTCGCGAGGGATGTGTCCCAGCAGACTGCACTGATAGCAAGGACCGCAGAAACCATGCCGGCTCTATCGTAAGTTGCCACGATCAGGTGGTCCTCGCTCCGGGTTGGGCCGCTGTTTTGATGTCGTGTCGATCGCGCGCTCCTGCCATGGGTTTTAACCCACGGGGGCGGCGTGGCCCATGTTGAGCGCGTAAGCGTGGGGGGTCTAAAGAGCAGTATGACAGCGTCCAACAGCGTGGTACCTGCTCATCAGCAAACGATGCTGACGCGTTACCCCTAAATGCTTCTGAATCTACCGCGCCACCATTCCACGCACAGCGAGACTCGACTGACTGCCCTGCAGGTGAAGGTGGGCGATACGATCGTGCAGCGAGGATGTCCCTTTGTATGCGCTTCATCTCGGTGGCGAGCTCTTCTAGGTCTGCGAACTTGCATCTCCTGAAGTGCGCTGCGAAAGTTGGGTGCACTTGTCGCATAATGCGCTCGACTTTTTCTGCGTTAGTGGCATGACGGTTAGCGAGACAATACAGTTCCTTGATCGCCCGCGTACATAATCCAGCAAGGATTTGTCTGAATGCTGGGTGTGTAGCTCCAAATTCTTCCACAAACTTCACTAAAAAATTTGCCGGTAGAAATTCGCTGCGAAAGCTGTTGCGGAACTCTTCTACCGTGCGGGCACAATGTCCGGTTAGTCGAAACAATCAAGCCGCTTGCTTCGTGAGCGACACTGGTACCACGCGCTCGAAAAGTCCGGTGTCAGAAAGCCCCGTTGCCTGCTGATAGTGGAGCAACAAATCGAGCTCAAGATAAGCATATCTACCTTGACATGTGGTTGCACATTTTGCACGGATGCCTGCGCTGTGTTTTGCAGGGCACTTGCCAATCTTTGCATAACTGATAGCGCATTCCCATGAGTACCTCGCTCGAGGGCAAACTTGCCGCAAGCTCACCTACAGTTGCGGCGTGTGTATGAGCAATTTGTGGCGGTGCCTCTCTCTTCGCTTCGCGAGGTGACGGGGAGCGCCTGGCCTTGCACTTTCTGTCACAGGCCTAATCTGTGCTAATGCAGTCTCTGCATCTTGCTGGTCATCCCGCTTGAAACGACCAAAATCTACGTTGTCAGAAAGCTCTAACAGTGCTCCCGTGTTAGCCAAAGGATTGACACTCTGCGACGTGACATCAGACAACATGGGCAAATCTAGGAATTCCGACATGCCTGTTGTTCTATGTTTGGAGGAGCATCGGTAGTCACTCGCGTCCATAAAAGTTGCGCCGTTGAAAATTCGTTATGCTGGGAACCAGATCTAGGAGGTTCATTCTGTGTACGGCTGATGTAGAAGCCTAGCTAATGTTCCAGCTGCACAGAGTCGTACCGTGCATGATTAACGTTCCCTTTCCGTAGCTTGAGTCATCGCAGCTGAAAGAGTTCGAGTGCATAAGGCAACAGGCTAGGTCAACAAACAACACTTTATTGCTATACATTAGCAATAACGCGTAAATGTCGCGTAGAGAGACTACAGATAAGAAAGGGTAGATGCTTACACCTCGGTCGTCATTCTTGGCTCGCAAGGGGTTCCGGGTTTGTCTTTCTTTTTTCGTCGCCGATGTCAGAGACAGCGTCTAGTCATCGGCACGCTAGTTTTCTTCACCGTCTCGGTTTCCCTTCCTTGATGAGAATCTGTTCCCCCGCTCAGGGAGGGGAAACCCGTTATGAGCGCCAAGAAAGAGGAGTCGCGAGCACCAGCCGCGGTTGTGTTTCATTCCTTTGCAAGAGGCTTCATTGACTCGTGTCTCGAAGGGACAGTCACGTCCTCGCGATTAGGCTGTCCTAGTTTCGAGGGAAAAGAGGAAACAGTGATTGGGCGCACATGCTCCCCACAATACAAGCTTGACTACCTTCGGGGAATAGGTGAAACTGAACTGTGCTGTGTTGGCATGCGGCCCTTCCAGGCTTGTGCCCATGCTTGATTTGTTTGTTTTTTCAGGTGCACTACAATTCATGGACCATGGGAGGGGAGAGTCCAGTCGACCCGCCTGCTCGGAAAGGAGGCACAAAAAAGGCCACACTATTTGCTTGGATAACATTGCAAAGCATTCCAGAGGTATGACTGTAGGAAATTTTGAATGCTTAGTGAAATATGCTAACTTTATATAACTCACAATTGTGTTGTGTGGCACTCGCCGTCACAGCTACAGGCAATGCTGACTAATGCTCCCACGTTTAATAGATATTGTCACGATTATTAGCCGTCCGCACAACAGAGGACAACGAAGCAACCATCACGAGCGGCAGTTGCTGGCGTTTTTTGAGGAAGACGATGTTGGAGGCCTGTTCTTGCGTTGTGTTCTTTTGCCCTATTCTTTCCACATTGCAACCCTGCAGGAGCGCCTACGTAAGCGGGCATTTGGTGTGTAGTGACACCACGGACCCGAGCTAACGGGGGGTTTCGACTCCTTCCCACGCTTAGCCGCGCGTGGCTTTGCCTTGTCCGGGGAAAAGGGGATCCTGCGGGTTGAGCTGATGCTGGGTTATTAGACTTTTAAGGCCCCCCGGCAGAGGCAACACACCCCTTTGGCCCTGACTTCACGGAGACGGCACCCCTGGGCTGACCCACCCCGGAGAAATCGGCAGTCGCCTTTTCCTATCCCCCTCTTCGATCTTGTTTTTTTCTGTCCTCTTTCTCATCTGTCCTGTTTTCTGATCTCTTCTGTTACTTCCCCATTTTCATAGGCGACTTGGGTTGACCTTGTGCAACTAGCCGACCTTGGCCTACGCACATTAGGTTATCGTAGTGATGTACGGCTGGTGTCTGCAAGTTTTTCGCTTCGCGATTCTTGTTGCGTCCCCTAATTGTGCTCCATGGTGGGTGGCCGCCATCGTTACTAAATTATATTCCACTATCATGCATGGACCTCAGTGATCGTGCCACTTTAAAGCGCGTACACATCGAAGAATTTTCTTTTTTCAGCCGACCCAAGGAAGTATTCCCCTGCTATCATGTCGTACATAGTGAGAAGCCCAACAAAACAGCCAGAACAGAGTCCTCGTTCATAGTATCGCGGTGTATGACATCCAGATAGGATTTAAATCTTGCAATTTAGCAATTTGTGAGCAGCAGGTCCAGCTTAGATTGAACAAGGTGGCTAAATGGGCAGATATTAACGGGTTCAAGATAAACCCTCAAAAGAGCACCTGTGTTCTTTTTTCTAGGAATACAGGCCTCCACCTAAATCCTGAAATTGAGCTTCTTGGGCAACGAATACCTGGAAAGGCTGAGCATAAATTTCTAGGTTTAATCTTGGACCCGAAGCTCACATTTATAACGCACAAAAAGTCCATAAAAAACAAGTGCCTGAAAACAATGAACATCCTCAAAGTGCTGTCACGCACAACATGTGGAAGTGACAGGAAGTGCCTGATGAATATATATGAAAGCCATATACGCACACGCCTAGACTACGCAGCCATAGTCTATCAGTCTGCTACACCGAGCGCATTGAAGATTCTGGATTTTATACATAATCTTGGCATATGCCTTTCAACGGGTGCTTTTCGCACCTGCCCTGTAGAAAGTCTCTATGTAGAGTTCGATGAGTGGTCGCTCCACCTTCAGAGACCCTATAAGTCCTTTTGTTATTATTTGAAAGTAAACTCGGATAAGGAACACCTCACACACACCACAATTAATGATTTGTCCAGTTTTGTTCTTTTTGACATCTGTCCCTCGGAGAGATGACCTTTCTCACTTCGAGTGAGGGGTCTAACTGAAGAAACTGGGGTACCTTTTTTTTGAAAACTGTCTAATGGCTCCCGCAACATACCTGCCGCCATGGCAGTGATAGCTCATTGACTGGGATTTATCTTTCGTTGCAATAACCAAACTTGGTCCCGTTACACAAATATGTGCATACTTTCTCAAATTGCAGCTGAAATACTCTTGTCCTGGATATTTTACAGATGCTTCAAAGTCTTGTATTGGTGTGTCCTATGCTGCCGTTGGTCCATCTTTTTGTGATTCTGGTGTTCTGCACCCTAATTCAAGCATCTTTACTGCAGAAGCTTATGCGATACTTATTGCTGTTAAGCACATTCAGGAATCAAAATTACAATGTGCAGTTATATACTCTGATTCCTTGAGCATCGTAAAAGCTTTAAAATCTCTGCAAAAACATAAAAACCCTGTCCTTGTGTCACTTTACAGTTTTTTCTGCATGATCTACACACTCAAACAACATGTAGTAGTGTGCTGGGGGACAAAACACCGTAGGATCAGGGGAAACGTCTTGGTGGATCAACTTGCTGTACCTGCCCAAAGCAGCGCTGCTGTCAATACATCCGTAGCTGTCCCTGCGCTTGACCTGAAGCCCTTTTTTCGACGGGAGCTCAGGGCGTGTTGGCAGCGGCTATGGGATAGACAAACACAAAACAAACTACATGTAATAAAACCGAGACTGGAAGTTGGCCACCAGTATCCAGATCACGCTACACACAAGTAACGCTCACCAGAATACAAATAGGACACACATACAGCACACATGCATATTTATTTTCTGGTGGTGAGCAACCCATATGTGACAGATGTGGGGACCGCTTACGGTTTTTCATATACTTGTTCAGTGCAATGAGCTAGACTCTCTAAGAAAAAAGCACTTTTAATACCCTATCTGCAGCAGCTTCCATTATATCCTGCAGTCATGTTGATTGGTAGAGATGCTCTTTTTAAGCTTGAATCGCTGTTCATATGTTTAAAAGATATAGATAGCTTTCATTCCATATTCCGAGGTGATCTGTAGCATGACCTCTGTACAGTGGTCGAGGCTGCGGTGGTTCCATTAAAGACAGCACCTGCCTCGCTGCCCTTGGGCTCAAGGGCATGCATTTACGAGGCATTCGTGCTAATCTAATCTCATCTCCTCAATCTAGTTTTATCACCACGAACATTGTCTTTTACTTCCACTACACACATTTCACGTCACTTCCATGATATTAAATACTTGTATGTTTTAACCCCCTTTAAGGCACGGAATTTCAGGCCTCTTTACAGCCACGAAACAGTATCATAGTTCATATCCTGTATGTTGTGGGGGTCTCGAATTGGCGAGCACGCGCCACGCCACGCTCTTGGAGTTAACGGACGCAGACCCGGTTGGGGCAAACAAACACAACATACATACATTTATTTAACTACTTTTGAACGACAATATCGTCTGCCGAATCGGTACATCAATCGTTATCAACACGTTAAGTCATCATTACACAAAATTACCAAACACACACTAACATGATAAACACAATAACACACCCAAGGCGGTGGCGCCTACGCTTGACTTACCACGTGGGGCCCCGGCACGCAGGCCGCAGTACCACGCGCCGAGGACCCATGCTAGAGACAACCATTCACGGCAACCGCCACGCGCACAAGAGACTCGCTCAACTCTCGCCTGCCACCAAGGTTTCTTCCCGCCACGGTCACCACCGGCGCTACCACTGTCACAACCATGACGATGATGACAGTGGTAATCAACGGCACCTACCACCCGGTAGTTGTAACCCGAAATGTGGCTTTTGGGCAAGACACGTGGGCCAAACAACTCTACAGGGGGTGTCAGCACGCCCACAACGTATTGCAGCAAATCATGCACCATTGCCATTTTATCAACATTTTTCATGGTGCTCTTTGGTCAAGTATGGCCCTTGCGCCATTAAAACCCATATATCATCATCATAATATTGCGGTCACTGACAGCCACGTTAGGTGATGGCTATACAGTTACCAAAAATGGCTAGTGGAGACTTTCTTTTAGAAGTCTGTGACAAAAATCAATTTGACAGGCTAAAGAACTTTGCAACATTCGGCGACCTTCTCATCAACGTAACGCCCCATCGATCCATGAACTCTGCACGTGAAGTCTCTCTTTCTAACACAGGACCACACGAAGGACTTTGTATGGACCTGTGTAGCGAGTAAGCAGTTTTTCTGACAAGTCAACTTGACGGATAGGAGACCTGAGCAGGACCAAAGAACCGGGCGGAAAGTGTACGTCGTGGTGTCGTTGGTCATACAAACGCCGCTGCTTCTTTTGAGAGGTCAGAAGACGAGTACGGGTGATTTCCCGTGTGTGAGCGGCCCGAGTGATACAGTCCATGGCATATTCACTGCTCGGTACTGCAGGGGACGGTATGACGGTGTCTAGAGGCAATGTTGGTTCTCGGCCAAACAGCAGAAAAAAATGGAGAGTAACTGGCAGTGTCATAGCGCGAAGTATTGTTGGCAAATGTGACGTACGGAAACGCAAGATCCCACTTGGTGTGGTTGGTAGAAATATACTAAGCAAGCATGTCTGTAAGAGTTCGATTTAGATGCTCCATGAATCCATTGGTTTGCGGATGGTATGACGTAGTCAGCTTGTGTCTTGTTTGACAGGACTGCAAGATGTTGGCTATGACCTTCGACAAAAAGGTGCGGCCACGGTCTGTAAGCAGCTGCTGTGAGGCTCTGTGTTGCAAAATCACGTCCTTGAGGAAGAAGTCGGCGACACCTGTGGCGCAGCTTGTTGGAAGACCTCGTGGGATGGCATAAGGCGTGGCGTAGTCGGTGGCCATAGCTATCCACTTGTTACCAGAGGAAGACAAGGGGAAAGGGCCAAGTAGGTCTAAGCCTATGCGGAAGAACGGTTCTGTCGGAATGTCAAGTGGTTGAAGGCGTGCAGTGGGAAGTGTCGATGGTGTTATGCAGCGCTGACATTTCTAACAAGCTGCAACATATCTTCTGACTGAGCGTGCAAGCCCTGGCCAAAAGAAGTGTCGGCTTATTCAGTCGTAAGTGCCTTAGACACCATGGTGACAAGTAGTCGGAATGTCATGAAGTTCATGTAGAACTTCCGAGCGAAGGTGTTTCAGAATGACAAGCAGCAGGGCCGGTCCATCCAGCTCTAAACTTTGGTGGTACAAAACACCATCATGGAGCATAAATAAGCGATGGGACTGATTGGAAGATCGAGTGATTCGAGGCGTTCAATGGTAGCACGCAAGGACGCGTCATGGTGCTGCTCGTCACCAATGAATGTCATTTGCGAAAGGGAAAAGGCGCAAGGCTCGGTT